GGAATCATTCTGGTTTAGCCATGCGACTGTTAAGATGGCTAAGCCCGAATATTTCTAGTTCTAGGTCTAGTGTTAGTTCCACTCTTAGTTCAATAAAAATATACACTAATCTAGCGCTGAATAACGATTAAAACTAGCACTATCACTTGAACTAACACAACACCTAGAACTAGAATCATTTGGGTTTAGTCGTCTTGAGAAACGTGCGGCTAAATCCGAATGATTCTAGTTCTCGGTCTAGTGTTAGTTCGAGTTTTGTACTAGCACTATTACTAGAACTAACACAAGACCTAGAACTAGAATCATTCAGGTTCAGCCGTCTTGAGAGACGTGCGGCTAAACCCGAATGTTTCTAGATCTAGGTCTAGTGTTCGTTCTAGTTTTAATTGTTACTCAGCGCTAAACTGTTGTGTATTTTCGTTGACCAAAAAGTAGAACTACCATTAGATCTAGAACTAGAAACATTCGGGTTTAGCCGTATGTCTCTTAAGATGACTGAACCCGAATGTTTCTAGTTCTAGGTCTAATTTTAGTTCAATGAAAACCTCACGCTGAATAACTACTAAAAAAACTAGCACTACACTAGCATTAGAACGAACACTAGAGCTAGAACTAGAAACATTCGGGTTTAGCTGTATGTCTCTTAAGACGGCTAAACCTGAAGGTTGCTAGTTCTTGGTCTAGTGTTAATTCCACTTTTAATTTAATAAATATATACAGCAATCTAACACTAAATAACAATTAAAACTAAAACTATCATTAGTCCTAGAACTAAAAAGTTACGGGTTTAGCCCTGCGTCTTCAGGCAGATTTTTGTTTACTTATTTTGTATTCACTACATTTCACAAGTATAATTATTTATTAGAATTGTTATTATTGCCTGTAAACAATATTGAAAGTGGGTTATTTATGACGCGTACTGTATTTACAAAAATAAATCATAATCAAATGTATACCACAAAACTGCTAAAGAGGTTGGGATAAATTTAGGTAGCAGAAATTTATTTAAAAAACATATTTTTTAAATATAAAACGTAAACAAGAATAGAACGGGTTGCAAATAAAATGTAGTTACTCGTGCATTAAAGTGATGCTTTTATATTCAAATTTAAATTTGTATATTTCCATTTGTTTGGATACATCAAGCTTTTGATATTGTTTTTATTAATGCGAACCAGTTTAGCGTAATAAAATACAATAAACGCAAAAAAATGTTTAGAGAACAATACATTTCGTCAGTCAAAATATTTGTTAATCTTCAATATAAATTAAACAATATTATTATTTATTTACCATTTTGCATTAACAATGTAATATCTAGAAACGATGTATTTGTATAAGATACTCTTACTGTCAGTTACATACTTGCACTTATTGCGACATCCTTTCGAAAGAAGATGTGAAAGATGGACGAAGTTGCAAATTATATAATTATATATTGAACTGTATTTGAGTAAAAGGACGACATCATGAAAATTGTGTAGAGGAGAATTAAGTGTAGAGATGGGAAAAATGGGATGATACATCAAGAGGATGTACTACTGTGGTAACAATAGATGAGCAGGGAGTAATGGAAAATTTCCAGACTCGGATAATATAATTAACGAGCTATAACAGAGTGAGAAATACCGTTTTGGAAAGTACAGCTGCATCTACTAATTGGAGGGTCAACCATAGCACTGCACAAAACGGGATGCGCAACTAATATTGAATTACTATTTTAAATAGCTTGCTTAAATAAGATCCAAATGAGTCAAGAAGTTGATGTCATTTTCATTGTCAGACAGGTTGTTGAAAATGTAATAGGGCATAAAGTGTAACAAATACTGCCTTCCTCTATTTCGGTAATCTAGTCAAAAAATTCGACAGAGTGAGTCTCAACATCATTGAGACAACTTAACACTTGTAACACAACAATAATTAAGACTAATACACAAACATCGGAGCAATCAAATGTGCACACAGGCAATCGACAAGGCCTTTCTTCTTCTATTTCCTATAGGACCTAGTCCAGTCTGTTCTGTCTCATTCCATAAGGTTGTCCAGCTTTACTGCAAGCGTTTGAGCGTCTTACAAATGGACGCTTGGTTTCTGGTCTTTGTGTCATTACTTGGTCTATTATACGTTCATCCACAACTAATTTGCATCGATATAGACCAAATTACATTTTTCGACTGTTCTTGTCAATCTGTACAGAATGCGTTGTAGACGGTTAGTCATTGACCTCGTTTTTCCATCTCCTCCAATGTTCTAAATGTTATCCTATTTCTCGCAAGTCGTCTCTCGTTGTTCCGTCCAGTTCCGAGGCTCGTTTAATTGCTCTGAATCATATATGCTCTGTTTGGGTGATTAGCCCAACAACAATGGTTCCGTACCCCTACGGCCCCTCAATGATTAATATCATATCTGCATGAAACTGGTTATCATATGGCAGCACCTCGGCTTCAAGCGACCTCGTCTTAATTAACAAAAGGAAAGTATGATTTGTTGAATACTAGATACAAGTAATAGAAGACTGTATACTGCTTACGGATGACTATCCACTGAAGCAGTAGGTTTTCCAAAAGTCTGATATTGTTTAAAGAAAACTAATGGAAGACTAGATTACTGCTGTCAAAAGATTATATGCTACCACAGTTCTGACACAAAACTAGATACAACTTACAGAGAATTAGATACTAATGGAAGACTAGATGTTTCTTATAGAGGTCTAAGCACTGTTACTAGAAAACACGAGATACTAGATATACTAAGTCACTAGGTACTAGATACACTGTGGGCAAAACACTAGATACTGCTGATAAAAAATTAGATACTGCTAGAAGAACACCTAAATACTCCTTGTGAATGGTTACACGTCGGAGAACATTCAATCGGCCAACAATGAAAGGAGGCCACAAATAGTTGATGCAGTACGTATCAACCAGAAAAGAGACTGAAGAAAGATAACATTGTAGTAAAACACGAGAAAACCAGCTTTCGCCGTTAACAAGGTCAAAACTACAGACCAAGTTCTCATATATGGACCACGGTATGGAAAGTAGGTCAAACGAATGAAACTTTTGATTCAGAATAAAATAACACGACCCTTGTGTGTAAACTTCTTGTTGGTTGAAATCCGCTTCATTTGTAAATAAAACAGTATGGAAAAGTAGGTATAGGTAGTATGGATACAAGCTGTATTTTCGAAGACATGTATAAATAAATTTATCTATACATATTATCTTAATAAAAAAAACGATAAAGTGAAATCGTTATTATATTAAAACAATGTTTCGATCAATTTGGGGCCTTCATCAGGCACGACTAAAAGTAAATTGTAAAAATAAAGCTGCAAAATACGTTAAGTAAGCAACTTATTTTTAATTAAGTAAATAAACAACAAGTTTAATGAGAAACAGAAGTTTGATATTATATTATAATATCAAGTTTGGTGGGCTGGGAGAAGCTGCCAATTAGTAGCAAAAACATGGATGTTAATGACCATGGAATCGTGTATGGGTCTTTTCACTATGTTGTGGAATAAGTAACAATAATTTTGCATGTCTCCTATTTCAATGTTCTCGTATTTTCCAAAAATTGTAGATTAAAGTTTGAGGGATATCTGTATCTACTTTCTGGTGGAACGCAGAAAATTACCTGACGCCAATATACAGGGTGATTTATAACATACGGAGCAAACTAAACGGGTATGTATTTAGAGTCAAACTGAAGAGATTTTCTTAATACTGTTTTGTTAAAAACCTAATAGTTACATAGATATCGCATGTTAATGTTTTAAATAAGTTATCGTCCATTTTTGGGAACCGCTGATATTCAGTAAAGAACAATTAAAATACTTGTTAAATGAAATGTCCGCTGCTAGGTAACCAAATCAACTGGATTGGCAGCAATAAAAACATGGTATGAGCGGTTCTCAACAAACAAATACCCGTTTTTGAGCGATTTAACAAACTTTTAAATAGCCGTAACTGCCATATTACAAAGATTTTACTATTGATACTAATTATACATTATTTAAGTAACCCCGAAATATTCGTTTGAATTTAATTTGAATTTAAACGTAGTGTAATACTGTATATCTTAAGAAATGCTCGGCCATTAATACAACTTTAGCGTTCTATATCTTTGTGATCATTACGTTGTAGTCAAAACATTATTAAGAAAATTTCTTCAGTTTGGCCCTTAGTACCTACCCTTTTAATCTGCTCCGTATGTTATAAATCACCCTGTATATATAATTATTTCTCTATTTAAAATTTCCTTCTTTACTATTGCAACTTAGTTTGAAATCGTATTGTATGAAATTGAAACTCCTAAAACTTGAAAACATTTTATATTAATTGGATACTTTGTTTCAGTCTTTGTTGGATTTCCTAGGCATAAACACAAATTTAATTTCTTAAGCAAGAAACGTTAAAAGCTAAACTCTGCTGTAAATTCTCTTCTCTTGAGTAAATTACGGAAACAACTTTATACATTTCATCAAAATTCTTGTTTCTTAATATAATAAGAAGAATTCGAAATTAATATTAATCTTATTTCTACGTATTAATTTAATCTATATGTATAAGATGAAAGTCTTTTGAAATCGAGTAACATCAAAGTGTTTTAGGTATTACATTCCAGGAAAATCCTAAGGTCAGGAACCGTTGTTGGAACGTTCAAGATCGACGTTAAGACAGTATACGACGCTTCCGGTACTTGGAAACGTTTTTCACCTTATTTCCCTGGAGATAAACCACTCCAATTTTTTATGCCAACATTTTAATAAAAAAAAAAGTAAATAAATAATTGTTTTGGTTTTTCTCCGGGATAATTGGAGCAAAATTTTTTTAGTTGCTCAAATTTTTTTGTTCAACTTAGATCAAAAATCAATTTTAACGCTGCGTATACACTGGTTTCCAATTCACTTCCTGCATCTTTTATTTTTTTCGATTTTTTTCTCTTTATTTCTTTCTCGTATGTTATTGTCGTTTTTTTCTTTTTATTGCACACAGGTGTTGCAGTCTCGGAGCATACTCAGGGGTAACAAATTATTGGGGAGCTTTAAGTTAGATGTTGCTACGGTCTGGTCACAACCAGGTACGATGCGCGATGTTGGATGTTTAATAATCAAAATAAAAAGAAAGTTGCGTATGATGGGTGTGGATGAAGACAGAAAGATTGAGTGGGAAATATAAAAATATAGCTTGTACATAGGCAACATTGATATTTTTAAATATGAAAATCTCGTGTTTATAGTAACCATACGTGGCATTAATTATAAATGTTCCAGATACATATTTAATCTATAAATGACGTTGGTAAAGAACCACCCTTTTTGATTTAATCAATTTTTAATAAATAACATTAACTATAAAATTATAATCTTTAAATAAAACATCAAATTCAAAAAAATCGAATTCATTTAGAGCTGAAACCCAATAACTTTGTTTATCTTGAAGAAATAAACTTACAACAAAAAAACATTTCTTGAATAGAAAAACACTTTTTAATTCAATTTCAAACTTTGCATGCTAAAGCTTTTATATAAATCGATGTATGCTGATTCTTAAAGCATGTTATTGTAAGATCACTTTTAAACTAGATCAATTTGTAATAAATGCATGATTCTTTGTATTAAAATAAAAAAATATTTATTTAACTTTGAAATTCCAGATCATCAATTTTATCATAAATGGGCTTTATTAACGGATCCTGACGACATCGCGGGTGGTCCAAAAGGATATTTAAAGTGCGATATTAGCGTAATTGGTAAAGGAGACAGCGTTAAAGTGCCCCCGAAAAGCGAAAAAGACGACGATGACATCGAAGCGTAAGTAAATAATATTTTTAATTTAATTTAAACAAGTGGGATAACTTTATTTCGATTCTTTCAAGTTTCTCGATGGTTTCGTTTCTTGTCCGTTTTCATTAAATCCATAATTAAGAAAGAAATTTCCGAGCAATTAGAATTAACCGGCACTAATTGCACAATGTCCGGTTTTCTAATTGAAATTCTTTCGTTCTCCACCGCTTATTATTTAACGAAAATTTCACCGATTTATACCAAAACTAAATAATTTTGTTATTTAGGGAATGTCACAAACTCGTGATATAGGACTTTTATTAAAGTGCATTTCCTCGTGGGGTGGAATTCCCTTTATCGAGTGCATTCAGCGTTTTTCAACTCAACCTCACAATTCCGCTTTTAAAATTTCCGGCGGTGTTTGTTTTGCAATTCCTAAACGAACGACTTAAAAGTTTCGTTTGAATTTAAACAACGAACGCCCGGGTAACTTTTTGAGAGTGTTTCCTTTGTTCGAAATAAACGAATATCAAAATTTATTGTGGATGAGAAAGTTACAAAGAGATTTTAATTTTGCACGGTTTCCCCAAAACTTTAAAGGTAAAACTTAAAGAATATGAGCACTACTTTTTTTTTAATTAGTCTTTTACTTTTAAATTTGTTAAACTTAATTTATATTTTTATAGTTATTTTCCATAACTTCCAAAGTCAATATACACTTTAACAGTTTTAGTTCAATACAAATATACAACATATTGATATCTTATGCGAACTAGCGCTAGATCTAGAACTAGAAACATTCGGGCTTAGCCGCACGTCTCTTACGACTGCTAAACCCGAATTATTCTAATTCTAGGTCTTGTGTTAGTTCTAGTAATAGTGCTAGTGCAAAACTAGGTGCACTTGGACTTGCCATAAACTTGCCCCTATTCATTTAGACAAGTTGTTAATGACAATCAACTAATTTTTAATCATTTTGAGCAACATGGATTGTTTAAAAACTAGTTGTTAATCATTTAGACATGTATAAAATTATGCTCAACCAGTTTTCAATGATTTGGAATAACATGAGATCGCTATCAACTTATTTCCAATCATTTTGAACAATTTTGCTACCTTATAAACTAATTTTAGACAATGTTGGTGCAGTTTTCAGTCATTCTGAGCAACCTGGACTTGCTATAAACTAGTCCTTATACATTAGACAAGTTTTTAATGACTATCAACTAGTTTTCAGTCATTTTGAGCAACATGGATTGTTGAAAAATTAGTTGTTAATCATTTAGACAAGTATAAAATTATGCTCAACCAGTTTTCAATGATTTGGAATAACATGAGATGGCTATCAACTTATTTCCAATCATTTTGAACAATTTTGCTACCTTATAAACCAATTTTAGACAATGTTAGTGCAGTTTTCAGTCATTCTGAGCAACCTGGACTTGCTATAAACTAGTCCTTATACATTTAGACAAGTTTTTAATGACTATCAACTAGTTTTCAGTCATTTTGAGCAACATGGATTGTTTAAAAACTAGTTGTTAATCATTTAGACAAGTATAAAGTTATGCTCAACCAATTTTCAATGATTTTGAATAACATGAGATAGTTATTAACCTATTTCGAAACATTTTGCTACCTTATAAAGCAATTTTGAACAATGTTGGTGCAGTTGTCAATCGTTCTGAGCAACTTAGACTTGCTATAAACTAGTCCTTATACATTTACACAAGTTTTTCATGACTATCAACTAATTTTTAGTCATTTTGAGCAACATGGATTGTTGAAAAATTAGTTGTTAATTATTTAGACAAGTATAAAATTATGCTCAACCAATTTGCAACAATTTTGAATAACAATACGCTATGAACCTATTTCGAAATTTTGCACAATGTTGGTGCAGTTTTCAATCGTTCTGAGCAACCTAAAACTTAGATACTTTCTAGTTCTAGGTCTAGTGTTAGTTCTAGTTTTACACTTGCGCTGTCACTAGAACTGACATTAGACCTAGAAACATTTGGGTTTAGGCGTACGAATGATTCTAGTTCTTGGTCTAGCGATATATATCTATAGTAATTAAAATTAAAACTAACACTAGACCTAGAACTAGAAAGTTTCTTTCTAGAAATATCTAGGTAGATACTTAGATAGTTTTAGGCCTAGTGTTAGTTCTAGTTTTACACTAGCACTGTTACTATATAGAACTAACACTATACCTAGAACTACAATCATTTGGGTTTAGCCGTCTTTAGAGAGTTGCTGCGAATGATTCTAGTTCAATAATAATCAGTACTTGAGCGACAACGTTTGAGTTAATTATAAGTAGTGAATGGAATCACTTCAACTTTTATAATTTGAAGAACGTGAGGCATCCTAGCAGAGCATTTAAAAATATATCTTCGAGGCAGCACTAAAACCCCTAAACTCTGGTTTTGCGAAGTGGTTGGGAATCTAGCAGAACTAAAAAAAAAATTTGCAACTCCATTCTTCGTCATCCCTCATCTGGCAGTATTTTGGCAAATAGTCATACATTGCCCATGTGTTCTTCTTACCAAATTTGTTGTCATGCATCATAGGCGTGTTTTCTGGCCTTTTTAAACACTTTCAACAGTCTCTGAAAACTTTTTTTTATCTATATTATGCATAGCACAATTGTATAACACCTAGTAAATACATACTAATTAGTTACTTATTTTTAACACCAAATTAAATTAGATAATGTTTTGCAGCTTTTCCCATTGGTCCAGAATTAAATAAAAATAAAATTAATATAAAATAAATTAATATCTCAAAAATTTGTGCTATTATGGTTTATAACCCGTTGAGGTGAATGTGGGGGCCCAATCCTCTGATTTGCCAATTACTAGTCATAGAAAGATGTTGTTTTATAACACTTTATATGATATAAATTGGAATTTCATATTGCATGATGATTTGTCTGCCAATCACTGCCAACCACAACTTATCTTTCATGCATTTCATAGTACATTTCCGGAAAAAATAATTGTGCAAAATAATAAGAAATGCACAAGCTGGTTTTCTGCATATCTCAAGGGCATGAGGAATCGCCTGTATTTCTTAACAGATATTCACAATACCACACGTTGTGAGAAACTAAAGCGAAAACTTAACTTTCTGACAAAAAATTATATAGACAAGATAAAAGATGTTAAAGTTAGATATAATGATGAGATTTTGAAACAATGTTTGACCCAAAAGAAGTAAATGATTACTTTATAAATGTTCCCCTAGATCTTATTAATTAAATTCAATCAGTTTAATCAGCTGCTATCAAATGTCACTGTATCACCTGGGAAATTCTGCCTGGAACCGGTTCGGTCGGTTTAATTGAGGTTCGTGATACAATCTGTTCTTTCAAAAATAAGTCTTCTAGGAATTTATACGGATTAAACGCTGTAATATTAAAGCTGATAAAAGATGTAATAATATCATCGCCTTTAACAAAATTAATCAACCATTGCATGAGAGAAAATATTTTTCGAAATGCTTTAAAGTTAGCATTGGTAACTCTTGTCTTCAAGAAACGCTATCCTCTTGCAATAGAAAATTATCGACGAATCTCACTTCTGCCTGTATTTTCAAAAATTTTGTAACTATCATAAAGAATAGAATTGTCGATTTCTTTGAAAATAATAACTTGTTCGCGTCATGTCAATACGGATTTCGTCAGAATCGTAGCACAGGAAACGCAATTATGGATTTTGTACAACAAGCAACAGACTGTTATGAGAAAGGCAAGTATATGACAACTACGTTCTGCAACTTCAGCAAGGCTTTTTATTGTGTGGACCGTAATTTATTAATAAAGAAGCTGAGCAGATATACCTTTGGCGACAGTAGTATTAAGATGATTCAATCGTACCTTGGTGGCAGAAGAGAAATAGTCTGTTGTAATGATGATAGCTGTTCTACATCAAAGTGCATTTCTATTGGAATTCCCCAAGGGTCAGTGTTGGGGCCACTGCTTTTCCTGATTTACCTTAAGACTACTCTCTGATTTTACCTATTATAAAGAACTGCGTAATTTCACGAGCTTTTTTATCTCACATATTCAGGGATGGTGATTCCAGGAAATTGTGAGGTGCCTTTCCATCTTTGAGCATTGGCGGTAATAGGACTGGTAGTATTGCTAGCAACATTGGTGATGCTGATTTGATTAACAATTCTTTTTTAACCTCTCAAATTACTAACTCTGGTGATGCAGAGCTTATTAAATTCTAAACTCTAATATTCTGCCTTTGATTAGTACTACATTATTCTTTTCCTTAGCCTCGGAAGACGAAATCTATCGTGCGCTGTAATCTATTAAAACCAATGCAGTTGGAAGTGATGGCATTAGCGTAAGGATGTTACTTCTGTGTTGCCCTGTGATTGTTCCGTATTTGTGCCATATTGTCAATTTTTGTCTGGAGCTGGGTGTCTTTCCTGATCAATGGAAGACTGCCTTAGTGTCTCCCATCCCTAAATGCAGTAACCCCTCAGGACTAAATGATCTTCGGCCTATTAGCATCTTAAGTGTTTGCTCTAAGGTAGTAGAAAGGATTGTGGCTGTAAGGATTTGGGATCATCTTAACACTTTTAATTTACTTCCATCTACTCAGTCTGGTTTTCGTCCTGGTTACAGCTGTACTACAGCTCTTCTGAATGTGACCGATGATATCTTGCGTGGATTGGATGAGGGAAATGTTACGGCTCTCATCCTAATTGACTTTTCTAAGGCGTTTGACACCCTCCATCATTCGACTTTACTTGCTGTGCTTCTTTATGTCGGTTTCTCTCCGTTGGCTATCGATTTTTTCAAAAACTATTTTTTACATCGTTCGCAAATTTTCATTGTTACTTTAGGTGTACCTCAAGGATCAATCTTGGGACCAATATTATACCTAATTTACACTATTAATCTCTATTCCAATCTAAAGCATTGTGAAACCCACATGTATGCTGATGATACTCAAATATACCTCGGTTTTGATGGGAGAGACTTGGGCATGTCCGAACTTCGAATT